CCCCAAAACCCCAAAACCCCAAAACCCCAAAACCCCTTTATTTCGAATTACATATGATCTGATAAATGATGAAAACTTTGATTAAATAATAAATCTTATATTAAGGTATTGATTCACTTTCACTTCCATATTCTAATTGTGCCATCGCTACTGATTGAGTAGAGTGAATTATTATCCTGATTAATAACAACACCATTAACTGCGTCCTCGTGTGCTTTAAGTACACTGACAATCTCCCCTTTATCAACGCTAACCATTTTGATCTCAGCATCTGAACAACCAACTGCAACATGTTTGCTATTCTTGTCGAAGCAGACTGATAGGGCTATTGCGTCTCCTGTATCTACTTAGCACATCTCTTTGACCATTCTAATATCCCACACCTTTAAGATACCATCAGAGTCGCAACTGGATATAAATTGCCCTCCAATACTGAAGATACAATCATTAATAGCATTGAGATGGCCATAGAAAGTTTAAACAGTAAGGCCAGTTCTCATATCCCAGATACTTAGAGTCTTGTCTGCTGAACCACTAACGAAGAAATTAGTGAAAGGTTAGAAATTTAGACCATTAATTGAATCAGTATGTGATCTGTATTGCTATCTGACTTTGAGAGAGTTTAAATCATATAGCTTAATGGCACCATCTCCACCACCTGAAAGTACGAAATCTCCAGTGTCATGGAACTTGCATTTCCATACTGGCATTGTATGGACATCATTGAATGTATGAGCAATGGTAGAGTTAATAAAGTCCCAAATCTTGACTGATTTGTCACCACCTGAGGTAACCAAGTGAGAGCCTTAAGGATGGAAGTCAATACCGCAGATCCAATCTTTATGACCCTCTCCAGTCATAATATTCTCTCCATTTTCTAGGTTCCAAATTTTCCAAGTGCAATCATCACTAGCAGTTGCAACAATCTGCTTTCTCAAGTGAAGCGAAAAGCCACCAATGCCCTTTGAATGAGCATCAACCTTTTTCTAGAATATAAGCTTTGGATTGACATCCTCGTATGTTCTTGCCAAGAATGGGTTAGGTCTCGCATCCTCAGGGAACGGAGTATTCTTTCCTTTGACTGGAGATTTTTTGTAGTCACCTCTCATTCCCATCTGCTATCTCTTGTGACTCTCTTCGATTTCCTTGCTGACTCTCTCTTCATCGTCCTTAATTCTTTTCTGTATTTCATTAACTCTCTTTGATAGTTTCTCCTTTTCAAGTTTTAGTAGTGCCTTTTCTTTCACTGTTGTTTGAAGCTTCTTCTTGATCTCTTCGATCCTTTCTTCATATTGATCATGGAGGTCCTTGATCTTTTTGATGTTCGAGTTAATGGTCACTTTCTCGTTGTTTACTCTGTTTTAATGAGTCTTATGGAAGTCTCTCTCTTTTCTGAGTTTCTCCCAAGTTGATTTGGCTTAGTCAGCAGCAACTTTGGCCTCTGCTAATTCTCCTCTCATTTTCTCAACCTTATCTTTCAATCGTTTGTTCTTGTTTTCTATGTCGGTTATGAACCCTATAGATGTATCATGGAAAGTACCCTTCTTTTATAGTTCATGCCATTCCTACATAAAGATATTTAGAGTCTTCTTCATGCTAAATCTTGATAGGAAATTTCTGATAAAATCATCAATGACTACATCCCTTTCAATAACCTTTGGTTTAGGGTCTGGCTTGTAGGTTTTGAGAGATTGGCCGTCAGCTCCACCTCCTCTTGATTGCATTTTATAATTAGTCTTGGCCTTAAGTGCTTCAAAGTTGTTAAGATCGTCATCATCACTATTGTCAACTTCAACCTCTCCCTCTGAGTCCTTTATCTCTTCGTAGTCGAAGTTATCATCTTCATCCTCAGTTATTTCCATCTTTTCCAGGATATAGGCTTCCTCTCTGAAATCTGCCATTATATTTTCTTATATTTAAATTAAATTATTTGACTAGCATTTTCATTTTCAATTTCTACATTATTAATTCAATATTGGCTCCTGGGGTTTTGGGGTTTTGGGGTTTTGGGGAGATCGGAAGAG